TATTTCGAAATAGCACATCCACACTGAGTGGACCCTGAACCAAAGTTAAGGCTGGCCGGAACCAGTGCCGACAGGGCATCAGGTTAGGACTTAGTGTGTGGGGCTGCTGCCTGAGGCTAACTGAGCTCCGTGCTTAAAGGGACCCTACCCCCACCCCGGACAGACAGTTCTCAGGGTTCCCCGCTTGCTTGTCTACCTTGATGAGTGACAGCAAAGCATCCCTATCTTGCAGTACCCTGAGTGCCCAAACTTAGGACATCACAGCACTTGGCCACATGGATTTTTTTTAATTTGAATTAAGCTAATTGGAAATAACACATCTATACACAAAAACTATTTCGAAATAGCACATCCACACTGAGTGGACCCTGAACCAAAGTTAAGGCTGGCCGGAACCAGTGCCGACAGGGCATCAGGTTAGGACTTAGTGTGTGGGGCTGCTGCCTGAGGCTAACTGAGCTCCGTGCTTAAAGGGACCCTACCCCCACCCCGGACAGACAGTTCTCAGGGTTCCCCGCTTGCTTGTCTACCTTGATGAGTGACAGCAAAGCATCCCTATCTTGCAGTACCCTGAGTGCCCAAACTTAGGACATCACAGCACTTGGCCACATGGAGCTAGAGCTGCCCCTGGGCACGCCGGTGCATCTCGTGGGTTCGTTGCCATCAGCCCAGCTGCGCTTGCTGCAGGCTGCCATCTGGGGGGGGTCCATCAGGGGTCTGTCAGGATCCAGGTGGCCTTGAGGGAGAGTGTCCACCCCAAGGAGCCCTCGGAGCCTCCCCAGTCCTCCCCACCAGGGGCTCGTGCCCCATTCCTCCCTCACGTCCTTCTACTAAGCCCTCCCTAGCCCCCCTTCCTGATGTCAAATAAAAGACACGTCTATTCAAAAACAGAAACTGGGTTTATTGAACAAAACGGGAGGTGGGATGAACCTCTTGAGAGACTGGGAAAAGGAGGTGGGAGAGGGGAAAAGGAGAGGGGGAAACATGGGAGGAGGGAGCTGGAAGGGGGAAGCAAGGGGAAGAAGGGGGAGGGGAAGCTCAGGGTTGGGGTCTCACTGGACCAATTTGGCTTACATGCTAACCCGCTCCTGGGTTCGCATGTGGCCTTTGGTGGCCAGCCTGGCAGCTATCCTGCCATAGACGGCTCCATTCCTCCATCTAGTGCAGAGATCA